CACCCTGTGATAAACGTATGTTGGCTACGGCAAGGAAACGCGAGCTACGGCAGGACCGGCTGGTGCAAAACTCAATGAACATCCCTGCACCTGTGCCACTATGTGCGGAACGGGAATGTGATGCTCCCCAGACAATGCCAGGAGTAGAGCATCACAAAGCAATGTGCCACGCAAAGAATTGCACAGCAGCTGCTCCGCATCGAGTAATCACCACAACCCTGTGCCAAGGCCTCTTCCCTGCTGGTGGAGACAGTTTTGCAGTCGGCACCCGAGTTATCTTTAGGAAGCTCTCCGAAACCACCTGTAATTTACTCATGAGAAAGTCAGGAGGCTCCTTTTCAAATGCTGGAGCAGAACCTCCTTACCATCCAGCAAAGCCACGGCAAACATGTGCGCAGCAGATTTGCGGGCCAACTGTTTGGGAAAGCATGTGCTGCGCGATGAGGCAGGAGAGCCAGCAACACATATGAATGAACCACTTGAGTTGAAGCCGTTCAGCATCACAGCAAATTCCTCACTCAGCAACTAGGACATCTCAAAGAGGAGTTGGACACCGCATCTTCAACACCGACACAATTGCGGCGGTAGGATGGAGAAACATCTACACCTGAACACTTGTTGCTACTAATGGTAACCTTATCCTGCCACACGTTTTGAGGTTCAGCAATTTGCCGCTTCACTGGACACCATGCAGCATAGCCAGGGCATGCTCCCAAGTCAATGCTAGGAGCGCAAAGTACCATGTAAACATGTTATTGAAAGGATCGGTACAGGCTTCCCTCTCTTTGATTTGCACCACCTGCACACACCTGCGGCAAGCTTTTTTTCTCTCTATGTCTGGTTCAAAGCTTGACTTAAATCGTTGAATAGCACGATCGCTTTCGCAACAACAAAGAACCCTTAAGGCGTACAATGGCACGTGAAGAGCTCTGACAAACAAATAGAGGCGCAGTAAACCTACAACTCTCGCAAGAAGTTCGCTGATGGTAGCCTTAACTTCTCCCGTGCACGGACAAAAGTGCCGGGTACTAAGGCCTCCGGAAGGAGCTGAAAGCGACACGTAGGATATGGCACAAGCGGGGCTGACACTTTGAACAAGCAGGCAAAGATCTATCAACATACTCTAAGCTGACCGTGGGTCTCGATTGGTTCGATGAAGCGATGAACGAATTGCACAGTACCTGGTCGGTTGCTTCTCCTCGGATTTGGTCACCGTGCAATCTGCATGACCCGGCGCGAAGTCCTTTTTCGCGCTGGTCGGATGGGGAAATCCCATCAAGGATCAATGAACCGCTTGAGTAGAAGTCGGCACTTGCATCACAGGATGTTCGGTACTCAGCAACCAGGCCCAGGACATCTCAGTGAGGGCACCAACACAACGGCGGCAGCATGGAAGAAACATGAAGAAACAACACCCACACCTCTTGAAGACTTTTGACACCTTGTTGCCGATGGTAACTTTATCCTGCCACACTGCCACACTGTTCACACTGGACACCATCCACAAGAACCAGGGCATGTTCCCAAGTTAATGCTAGGAGCAAAGAGTACCAAGAAACATTTGCCGCAAAGAATTGCATAGCACCTCTCTCAGGAAGCGTGTGCTGTTCATTGGGTCTCTCCGATCTCTCTCCATTGGATCTCTCGTCTTGCAATCGAACAATTCCTGCCACCCTGCGCAAAGTCCTCTGCGTGACTGGTGGGAGAGGGAACCCCCAAATCAGTCAAACAACATTACAGGAGCGTCTGCACTCAGCAACTCGTGAGTCTTCAATCTTCAAGGAGGGGCACAAAAGCAAACACAGCATACTGATGCTGTGGTGACGAATGCAGAAAGAGTGGGCCATGGTGTTGCCTGCAACTCTTGAAAAATCAGGTCTCTGATGCTAGATGGACCCAAAAAAAAAACGGGCTTTCAAAGCGACGGTCAGGTGGCATGCTCTCCGGAATTGTGTGCGCAAGCGCTCCGAGGTGGTGTGGCACCGTCGCGGGATGCGCTCGCGGAGGTCCGTCCGCTCTGGACGTTGAAACGTCAGCTGCTCGGAATGGATTTGGATGGCAAAGTTGGAGGCCTGACGCATCAGTCGCTTTTGGACTCTTTCTTGAGCCCTCTGTGATAGCTGTGCCAGGCTTCATTTGGACCGCCACAACGATACAGCAACAAGAGGTGTGCAAAATTGGAAAGGACGGCAACGTGTGCTGATTGTAGCTGTATCATGGTTTCATTCTCACAGGATTGAAGCCAAACTCCATGCCAACAAAATCATGGCAGCATCCTCAGTCAATGCTAGGACTGCAGAACGGAGCACCCTTCACCAACCCAAACATGTCGGACAACCACGTGTCACAGAATGCGGTGGCCTACACACCAGTGCTACCCACAAGCCGTATGGGCCGGTGGAACCCGCAGCCAGAACCATCCGTGGTGCCGCAGCCGCGCGAGCGAGCACCGCTGTGCCACTGGCACATCTTCCACTGCACCGCGGCAGTTCGTCCAGCGGAAAATCTTAAAGCTCCGCTGGGAAATGTCACAGGTGGCTTTCTTCAGCAGCTGAGTCACAGCCTGATCTAAAGTGTCAAAGGTTGTTCTTGGGCAATGTTGAGTGAGAATGACTTGGGCATGGCTGACTCTTTCTGCGGCATGTCCAACAACACATTCTTCTGGAATTTTTGGATGTAGATTAAGCCCGTCACATGCTGACTAAACTTCACACAAAGACGGGAGACTGAGCTTTGCAGTCAATGCTAAGGCCGGCAGCAGAAGAAAGTCGCAAAACGCTTGCGGCATTGGCTTCTTGGTGCGCTTGGACTTTGGGCTTCTCAAGGCTTTCTCTTCTCGCCTCTGTCAGAAGAAAGCATGCTGAGACCATACGCCGTCTGATGATCTGCTCCGTGAGCTGGCCCTCAGCAGTGCGGGAAGAACACCCAAAAACCAATGCCTGCCCGAATAAATGGTTCCATGCAATATAACCGGCGGTTTGTAAAAACTTTGTTCCGGATGTCGGGGCCCGGTAGGCCCCTACCCCATTCTGGCAAAGTGCTTTGGAGGCAGTTCAGCCTTTCTTGTGGAAACACCCATCGGGCCATGATTTCAATCCACTTCGTGAAAAAGGTATCCCAAGAATGTCGGCCCAGAAACCCCTAACCGCAAAACCGATAGGAACAGTGGGAAAACTGTTAACTATCCAAGCAAGCTTGATTTTGCCACGGTGCGCACATGTAGTACAGCTCGCCATGTTTATAAGCCACCTCAAACGAAAACGTATCGGAAGTTGACACCCGCCCATCAACTTTAAATTGTGTATCGTGTGCATATGATCCTCCATCCGCGTTATACCCCCCCGTGTCCATACAGTATCAAACCCAACCCTTCATTTCTTGCGAAGTCTTGTCATTCTTGCCCTGACAATGCCCAGCAGGATTGCAGCTGGCTGTTTCTTTTGCTACAAAGTTTCAACAGCAAACAAAACGACACGTTCATGTCTGTTCCCTTCTGTGCTCTTCAGAAAACATCAGCCTCCTGTGAGGTTCTCCAGCAGGGTTCGCCAAACCGCGCAGCCATCGGTCCAAAGGCGCCGGTGAAAACCAGAGACGACGGTCCGGCTGGACCGTATGGATCGTGGCGACGTCAGTTTTTCTGGGCTTTCGCAGTCGTCAGAAGACTCTTCCCCAAAAATTGGGGGTGGGATGTGTGTTTTGATGCAACGGTTTGAACCACTCTTGGCACCATTTCTGACGAAAAGTACTTGAATTGAATTGAATTGAAACTCATTCAGCACCAATGACCGATGAATCATGAGTGTGTCCATGGCGACACAGAGCCAGGCTGCAGGGAGTGACACATGGGGCACCGATGCTCTGAGTTGACAACCCCCTGAAGGCCAAGGGGAGAATGTCCAGGTCTATTGCGGGTGATGTCTTTGAGTGTGCAAGACAGCATGACTCTATGTGAAAACCGGTTGTTGTGTTCCCTTCTCTGTCTTTGTTTCCAGGTCTGTCGACGTTTTTGGATGGTAGATTGCTTGCCTTCCCAGGCTTCTCGTGGTTTCTTTTCCATTCCTTCTCTCCTGAGTCCCGAGTATCTCTCTTCTCTTCTTAGTCTTTTCGTTGGACATTTCAGACCGATTTACCGCCGTACAGAATGTAAAAGATGAAGAAATACCTACGCTGCAGAACTCTGAATTGGAGAAATACCTGGTTTCTTTGGAGAACTCTACTTCCTCACGTGCCTCTAGGTCGGTCCGGTGCCGCACCCGGTGGGCTCCGGGCGGGTCAGCTGTTGAGCTGGTAGGTGGCCCGGTGCCTGGTTGCATGCCTTCCCTTGAGCTGGTGTCTTCGGTCTCCCCCTTGGTGTGAGCAAACTCGTCAGCGAGTTTGACGTCAAGTGCGGAAAGGCCAGCGCCCCCCTTTGGCGGCTTCACGTTTCAGGATATTTCAGGTGCATACGATAAATTGACAGAACCTTTGTATGTATACTTGCAGTGATACAAAAAACAGAAACATGCCTGCCAGCCTGCCAGATGATCTTCGCCATTCTTTGCGATGCCGTGAGGATGATTTCTGTGGCAAAAAACGGCTGTCGGAAAGCTCCATGCACCAGATTGCGCCGGTTGCCGGTCTGAACACTTTTGCAAGGAACTGCGAACTTTTGGGTGTCGCAGTTCCAGGCAGTTCAACATGGTGAAGCGATGCAGCTTCACGTTAAAAGATTCATTGAACGATTCCAGTGGCAAATGTGGCAGTGATCATCGTCAACATGACTGCTTGTCTTCTGATTGTTTTCATCGTGGTCGAACGGTCCGGTGCGCCCGATATCGAACGCACGAGTCCTGTTTCGTGATGGAAGCGACCGGATAGGCGTCACAGTGTCTGCACATTCGGAATGGCAGGGAGGTTTAGGAGGAATGGCAGGGAATGGTGTTGCTATGTGTTGCTCCTAGGCAGGGAGGTTTCAGAGTGATAGCGTTGAGCAGCGCTCTCAGCACGGCTCTTTTACCTGTGCAAGGAGCAGTTTCTTCGATGCCGCGTCATCTGAAACCTGGTGTTTCGTTCGTTGGTTTCACCCCCCATCTCGATACACTGCTGCAGTCTCTTGGGCTCCAAATATGGAAGCCAGTGCTCCCAGCTGCGAAGACTCGCGCTGTGCGTCCTGCGCCCTTTTGGCCCAGGACGGCCGCTTTCGCGTGCGCGGCTTCCGTGTCGGGGGTGACCAAAAGCAAATGGTTTCCCGATGATGCGCTCTGCTTGTGGCGCATGGAGAACTCTACAGAGCTCCAATATGCGGCAAGATCCCATGGCGCTGGTTGGAATGATCGATCCCGAAGAGTGACTGTAGCACTGTAGCTACAAGCCTGCCTCGGCACCCGATGCCTGGCGAGGAAATTCTTCAGGTTTTGTGCATTTGAGGCTGTTGTCCAAGAAGAATCTAGGTGGGTGAAATCCAAGCGAACCACCGTGCACTTGTTAGAAAGCAATATCTCTGATTGCAGTCTGAAGCAAACAAAGAACATCAAAGAAGTCGCTTTGTTGGCACCAAACTCGCTCCTCGTCCTTGTCAAGTTCCCAAGTGATGATGCCATGGCCTGCCCGAGTGCCCCACACCCCGGGACTGCAGACATCTCAAAACCAAATACCATCATTTGGGTCAATCCCATTACAATCGGGTGGTCTTGCCACAAGGAGAATACATTTGGTATATTGCCAGGGTCTCAAGTGGATGATGATTCAGTTGCAGATCTCTAAACATCGTGTTCTTGTGGATCCCGACGGCGCAAACCAGGTGATGGGACAGACCCAAACTATCGTATTACCCCAGGCCCTGGACGTCCAAAGGCTAGATTTTGCCTCCCCTGAAGTGAAGGAAGCCTCCCCTGAAGTGAAGGAAGTTCCCCCAAGACTAGTCAGCGCCATAGATTCATATATACACACGTAAAACAATGATAGACCTCCGAGGTGTCCAAAAGCCGTCTTCCAACTATACCTAGAACCTGAATGACCTCTATTTTGGACCACAAACCACCCAAGATGGTCTTTCCCTATCAAAACAGAGGTCATGTCTGGGTTCCAGGTATACTGTATATGGCAGGGAAGTTGTAGCTGATCCGGTCCGAGATGCTACCATCTTCCGGGTGAGTCGAACACACAGGTCGCGGCCCCGAAAGAGGGCACCTCACAGTCAACGCCAAGGGCTTCATGTTGCAAGATTCTTCCAGGGATACCTGGGCAGGCAATGCTTTGAAAGGTGATCTTGGTCAGTTCGACGAACATCTTGACTGGGCCAAGTGGGGCTGAGTGCTACTCTAATACGGCCCAATTGCCCAAGTTTAGGAGGTTCTCCAACCAAGCATATCACCCCCCTCGAGGGCAAGAATCATGAGTGCACGTATTAGTATTAGTCGCTAGTTGAATACGATTGAATCACACATCCAAGGGAAACAGCCCTACATGGCCCTACAATCCACCATCGAGGAGGCGAGCGAGTCCAGCGGCCCTACGCCCGGGGCGCGCCCGAGATCGGAGGACACGGGGACGAGCACCGAGGCGCAGGTGCTTTGCACATCTTCACACTACAAGCACCAGCCGCAAGGTTGGTTCTGGTTAGTGCCAGATGTCCACCATGCAGCTACAAAGTCGGCCCTAGCAAGTGCCATCATCACATAAAGCCAGAAGTGACCAAACTGCATGTCCAGTCCGTCCGAGTGACGCCATCGTAACGTCCGGCCTCCTTGCAGTCTGGCAGGAAAACAAGCCTCAAAGCACAGTCCAACACATGAAGTCAACCAAAAGTCTGGTGGAACACCCAGGTAAGTCTTCACTGGGGTACATGAGGGCGTCTCTGACTACCCGGCTTGGTATGGTGGGTGTGAAAAGGGGGTGAAAAGGGCAACAAGCAACAAACTTCTGTGTAAGACCACAATGAATCAAAACAATCTAGGTACATTACACGTCACCAAACAGTACACGTTTATCTATCATATTTCAAGTATTTTCAAGTGTCTGAAGTTCAGACTGGAAGCAGTAACTAGGATGATGATTGAGTCAAGGGAACTCTCTTTGTGGATGACCCACACACACATTACGCAGGACTGTATCCACGTCAGATCTGGCCACGGATGGCCACCCGAGAAGTTGCTCTGAAGCATTGAGGGGTGGCATTTGAATAACTGTGCAGCTGTGTAGGTTTCCCGGCAAATGTTTGATTATTTTTAGATTCTTGCAAAGGTCGCAAGCGGGTTCGGCAGAATGGGCCTACGACTGTGGCCAAAGTGAAATGTGCGGCCGAAGCCAATTTCAAGCAGGCTTGAACACCAACCTGACTTGTACTCAAAAAAGTTCAGGAAATGGGCGAGAGATGGTGAAAGTGCTTTATTGAGTTTCCAATTGTTGTTTGAGAGTGTATCGAAAATCTTCAGGTACAATCTCAACTATCTTTGCCGAACAGGCAGGATGGGAATACGGGGATCATCTGTGTAGACCAAGGGAGGGTTCCTTAGATGCTCTTTGCGAACTGGGACTCTTGTGCCCTGAGCGGATCAGACTAATCCTAGCCACACATGTTTCATTGTCATTGGGAGCAGGGGCACTTCCAGGGCATGGTCAAGCCTGTCTCTCAACCTTTCGCTGAAGTTCGGGACCCGTCGATCGATGCTTTTTAAAGGAAAGATTGGGACCCACCCGATGCCAGCAACGCTTTGATCAATCAAGAGTCTACATTACCCTAGGCCCGGACCGCGCCAGACTTTGGTTGAGGGCCCGGGGGTCCGCGAGGAGGTCGGGGCGTCCGAACCGCCAAGAGGTCGGGCCGATCTTCGGAGTTTGTAGGGATAGTAGATCTTAGGAGCTCATGTCCGAACCCGACTCAACTGGTCCCTCCCTGAACAAATGGATGACCAAACTGCTTCAAAGGAGCAGCAGTTCCTTGGCCACAATCTGTGCCAAACGGCTGGCCATGATGGCATCCTCTCACAGCCGGACGGTTCAGTTGGCATGAGGGAGACGAGTCATCCGTGACCCAGCCCGGCAATGCGACACCGTCGACACCGCGATGACAATCAACGGGTGATCCCCAATCCCCACACCCACCTGGCAGGACTTACAGCATTTGCTTCATCCACAGGAGAAAAACATCATGGGTTGCTGGTTCTGAGAAAATAGGACCAACCATGACCAAACGGTCATTTTCTCTGAACATCTCCTTTCAGAATACTTTATGCCCATGTTTCATAGATCTGTACCAATTCTATATGGCGTTATGTGTCTGAATCTGCTGAGTACCACCCTGGTAAAAAGTGTGCCACATAGCTCGCAATACACCCTTGTAGGCCCATTCCATGGTTTTCGGCGCCTTCCACAGCATCTTCTCATCTGCCAGGATCACGGAATACCGTGCATGGACCTGGCTGCAAAAAGCGCCAGAAAGGCTGGAAAACACCCGAACGAATCCTTAGGCCCGCCATGGCAGCGGTCGTAGCAAAAGATCCAGGGAAATAGGGCCTAACACGGACCAAACGTAGCACCTACACCCCCACAAACTACAAACATGGAATTGGAAAACAAACTTGAGGCCGAGGGTAGGTGACGAAAGCTAGCAGGGGTGCATCCGGACTGGTGGGACATCAAGCGGAGTGAGGCAAACGCTCATGAGGTAAAACGTTGTGAACATGTAAAACACACAAACAGCAATGACACAGCCAACCTTAGAATTGAAGTCCCCGATAATTAAGGAAGCGTGGCTGGACTTTGCCACACTGTTCGATGCATCCGATGTGTTCACGAACCTGTGAGCTTGTTGAATCTGTTGCACCGTATCCCAAAACCTCCACGGAGGAGTTGAACCAGTGTGGATGCCATAAGAGGTGCCCAAGAGGTGTCCCAGAGGCAAAACAAAGCTGCTTGCATGATTTGTTTGGTTTCTTCTATCGATGTCGATGTCATGAACATGTGAGCTTGTTGAATCTGCTGTTGGATCGTCATGTATATGTAATGAGGGACTGAAGAAAAGCAACGCAGCATCATGAGCATCACGGGAAGTCACAAACCAGGCGTCACAAACCAGGCGTATCAGATACACCTGGTTTATGTATGTTTGTTTGCATCTTTGTCGAGTGAAGTGTCAGCCATATGCACTTAGATGCCGAAGGAAGCTCAAAGGCACGTGTATCTGATACGCCTGGTTTCTGACTTCCCGTGATGCTCATCATTGAAGCCTTGAACCCTCGCGTAAATTTCATGTTTCATGCCCCCCCTTCCAAACTCAAACAGTGGCCTACTTCACCTGCCACCTAAACATAGCACTATAGCACGTACCGGAAGCGTCCCAGGGTGGAGTTGAACCCGCGGGGGGGGGGAGGGCCCCCCCCCCTACACGTGAAGTTTTCACGTGATTCATGATTCTCGAGGCTGCGAGCCCTTGACTTGCTAAAGCAAGAGCAACTCCATCTAGCTGATGCTAGCTTTCGTGATTAACCCTGTGAAGACTATTTTTCGTCTACAAACAGGTGGATGTTCCATTTCCATGTTGGTGAGTCAGAGTGAAACATGGCTAACATGGACCGTAAGACTTCACCGGAGAAAAACACAACACACACGTCGACCACGAGCCACGAGCCGCCCGTTGTTCGATGTGTCGGACGCCGTGCCACGGTCGGTGACGCCGGGTCAACCGGCGTACGTCGGGGGGTGGACGTCTCACGCATGAAGTTGGCAGGTTCAAGGCATCCAGCCTCACTTGGTGACCCCTCGTAGAGCAAGAAGTGGCAGCCAAACTTCAAGGCATCCGGCCGCACCTGAACTCCCAGGGGGACTGACATGGACTGAGTCCATATCAGTGGCCCCCTTCACCAGCTTCGTTGACGGATCCCCCCTAAAAACCAGGGAATGGTGGTTTTTTGGGCGGAACATTTTAGGTTCGTGGTTTCAACTCAAAACAATAGGAGTCAGCGGGCTCAATCATCGCAAGTAAAGGTCGAACATTAAAAAAATGAAACCACCACCCAGTTCAAACTTCTCAACGGTGTGCATGTTCCGCTTGAGGGTGGATGTTCACCGCAGAAACTCTCCATTTGGTTCGGTGTGGCCCTCAGCTTTCTGGCCCAAACACTTCATGGGCGAAAACAAGGATCCTCCAGATGTCTCCAGACGTTCAACATCTTCATTGGGTTGGTGGCTCAGCAGGTACCCTGCTCAGCATCAATTCGCTGGAGGCGCGCAGCACCCATGTTTAAGCCCCTTTGCAAAAAGGACAAACATAAACCGATAGCCCATGCGATTTCCCCACCCTAAACCTTTTCACTGCAGCTCCCATGTGCCACTGATGCTTGCTTCAAGACTGGGTCATCCTCAACCAGCTTAGAGCCACTGCCGCCAGTGCTGCTGAGGTGCCACCCAGCCATCCTGGCGGTAGTGCCGGTAGGTCACGAAGCATGCAGGGAAGTTTGGAACCTAGGCGTGCTGAGTTCGGAACCCGGCCTGTCCAACAAAATCGATTCAACATGCTGCAACATGCGGCGGTTTCACATACGCTGGACATGGGTTTCACAATGTTTCACCGTTATACATGCAAAATGCAACCACTAGGCCAATGGGCGTATGTCATATGTCCTTGTAACATTGGCTTGCGCGCAATTGCAGCTTATCGTGTTGAATGCACAGTGTATGCACATATATTAATAATAACTTAACTGATTTCCTTTTTAGCTCTAAAATCCCAAACAAACATTGAAACATTGCTTTGGCACGTGCTTCCAAGTAAATCCCTGTTTACTGTAATTAAATTGAGTCCTGTTAAAATCAAGCGTGCCTTGGAATGTATGTAAATAACTAAAGACATATATATCTACAGGGCGGCTGCGTGGCCGGGTGGTTGAGTACTTGGTCTTCGGACCAAACATACCTGGGTTTAATCCCGGTGGCCCACCCGACGGACAGGCGGGGGCTACCGGTGGCAGAGCGCCTGGTGGGCCCGGGCCGGTAGGTGCTAGGGTGCAGTCCCAACACCACATACACACACAGATATATATATATATACACATATTATATACACATATATAGCTTACTATATATACAGTATACACGTAATTTCTATGTTTGCTTTCATTTTTGATATTGCCATCATCTTCGCGTTTAGCTATGGAGACGAACCCGAGAATTCTACGAAAAAACACACGGCTTTCTATTCTAAGTATGCTTATGGGCCAAAGTATTCCAAGAACATGACATTTTTCCCACCGCGGGATTGAACAAATAATTCATCTACTCCAGGATGGTTATACATCTAATCTATATACATACCCTTGGCGAACACTTCCCCGCGCTGGGAACCGGACGCGTGAACAACATCGTTCAAAGAATGCCTCTTTGGACAAGACCTCAGGGAAACATCACAGCAGGGAGAGCATCTGTTCTAAAATGAATGCATCGGACCCACCTCAAGATTTCTTTAAGGTACATACTGTAGATGTAGCCGCAGCTCCAATCCATGCCAATCCCAAGGTAACGCATAAGACTTGCAGGGGTACGCTCAGCCCAGGGTTTTGGGGCTCCAACTGCGTTGGGTTTTGAGGCCCACTTGGCCCTCGCACCGCTGGACCCTCGCAAATGACCAACACGGAGTCCAACCTCCAGCGGTTCGGGCCGACCGCGCGGCGGTGACGGCGCCGGTCGTGCGAAGGGGAGACGAGATGAGACCGCTGAGATGCAGGGCCTGGTTGCAAGAGGCAAGTGGCAGTTGACCAAGTTGGATTAACGCCCACAAGGACCCTAAGCGAGGCGTAAGCATGCCTACGGGCTGCTTACCTCTCCTTAGTGGCTGCGTAGGGAACCTTCTAAATAGTGAAACGAAATGGCCTGGAGAGATTGCAGCTTGAACCTCCACCACTTGGATGAGTGCTGCTAAACCACTGAGCATGGCGAAGGGTTGCATGGTATGGTTTCACCTCAAGGCTCTTCCTTCCATCAAGTCTCTAATCTCAAGCAGTCTGAGAATTGTTGCTTAGCTTTGATTTTTCAATATATAACGCCCCTGCGAATCCACAAGTGGCCCGTCTCGTCTTCCAAAACTTGAGGCACTTTGCTGATGAGTTCGTTCCGCAAAAACAAACAGCAGAATGTTCTGCATCACCAAGTCGCCCAGAAAGGCCTCCAGAAAAAACATAAACATCCTGAAGATTTGGGGCTCTTTGACTTTGCTCGGCCACACAGTCCCCCACACTCCCCTAGAAGAGAACTCACTTCCTTCACTTAGCCTTACTGCGGATACCTTTCACACAAACCTGCGCCCGCTGCAATGAAAACAACACATGCATCTTGGCTGCTTTTGAATAACATTAAAAAAAACATTAAAAACATTTAAAAAAAAACAACTAAGCATCCTCCAAAATCAAGGTGCCAACGAATTTCACCAGAAAGATTGGTTGGAATTGGCAAGGGCCACCGGGGCGTCTGTAGAGAGTTTGCTGTGGCCCCGTGCTGCAAGAAGAGGGCCTGTCAGGTACAGCAGTGATCTCTTGAAACAAATTGTGCAAACCGGCACACCGTTGGCTGGACAGTATGAGCTTGCTTGACAACCGGTTCCCCCGAAAGCCTGTTGTATCAGTGTTGTCTAGGGAAAGAGCTAAATTAGCAGATTTAGGTGATGCCATTGGTGTTGAGATCAGTGTCATCATAAACGGTCTCAGTGCCAGTAGCTGTCACCAATCAGCCAGTCGGCAGCACCCAAAATGATCTAAAATAGGTTCTTCCCAGATGAGATCAGGAAAATGAAGATAGACCATCTCAAAGCAAACCCAGTAAGGACGTGTAAGGACTGGCTTTTCGCCCCGCAGCAGGTTCGTTGCCTCCTCCAAGGACAAGACTAAGCCCAGTGGCGCGGTCTCAGTGCCAAAGCACCTCAATGCACAGCCAGCGACACCGCTGTCACCCCACTGCTTCGCTCGGGTTCGATGCTGCTTATTTCATCTTATTTCCTTGCTGACTGGTGCGGCTCGTAAGGCATAAGGGTGGCTGGATCCTGAGGTATCATAAGGGTGGCTCGGCTCGATCCGACTCCCGGCCGCCGAGTCGTGCGGCGAAGAGACCCCTCTGGAGCCAAAGCACCCGGTTGTAGAGGAACGAGCCTCTTCTTTTCCATGTTCACTTTGCCCGGCGTATTCCAACCATGGGCGTGGATTTTTGAACAAAAAACGCTAACACATGTCATTCGTATATACATATTGGGGAATGCCTATATGTGTGTGTGTATGTGTGTGTATGTGTATATAATAATCATATTAGAATGCTATTAGATAGCTTCATTAATATTGATATCTACAATCCATCTATATTTATACTATATGTCCATGCCAAGAAACGTCCTCTCTCTGAATTTCTGAATGACCTGCCTGGACTACGCAAAAAACAAATCTTCAGCCAGGACATCCAAACAGGATGGTCCAGGAATACATCGGAGATGTTCGGACCATCCCATGTCTACCCACTGTGAAGAAAACAAACGCAAACACGATTTCGGTGTCGCCTCTGCCGCCGAAGAAGATCTAGGTTTGAGCCTGGCCATGTAAACACTGTCGACACATTATGTCAATTGAAACCTCGTCAAACTGGCTCTTTGGAAATGCGGAGAAGCCTGCATGAAATATCCGATACCATCCGATATCCATTGTGATCCATTGTGAACTTCTTCCTTGACTGGTGACAAAACCACCAAATCGATATCGAGGATGTTTAGACCAGTCCAGCTCCTGCCAATAGACCTACAGTAGATGAATGAGATGTACGCAGACTGGCCAAACACCGGCGATCTGTCCTCGATCACATGGTGCCAAAACAAAGTGGCCACAAAGGTTCCTTGGCCACGCGGTGCCAAGTTTGCTCTGAAGACTCCCAACAGCCTCCCTGCCAACTTTCAAGACTTCAGCACATGTGATCAGCGAGCGCTTCTCGCGGGCGATCTTTTGGTCATCACTCAGTCAGGAGGCCGATTCTGTTGGGACCTTTGATTGATAGCCACTGGATGACCTCTGTCTGATAAGCAAGCTAACCTCATTGACTATTGCAATGAGAAGAATCATTGACCAAGCACCAAGGCTGTGCTGGGCGGTTTTCGTCACAAACGCAGGCTTGTGTTGGGTGAACCTTCCATGTGAGTAAAGGACAAATATATCAAGAAAATTCTTAATCTAAGATCATCTAAGAAGATATGCCCATAGTCATCATAGTTCCAAGGGTTTAAGTTCGACATGCTTCGGCCCACAAACAGTTTGCATGCAAACAAAGGGAACAACCTATACATCCCTGTCAGCTCATGAACCCAACTCCGTGGCGGAGAAGGTAGTGCCACTTTCGGTGCATCAGGCCTCGATCAGCGCAAAGTGGAAACCAATCGACTCCTCTGGTCCCAGGGGTTGCTGCTTTCCTCCTTCCAACCGCTAAATAAGCTTTTGAGGTTCCCACTGGAAAGATGTAAAACTGGAGCTGGGGATTGGCATCGTAGGTCTTAGCTATTCTGAGCTATAATAGTTATGTTATGTTTATATTAATTTTCCTCAACTGAGAAACCCAAATGCTGAACTGCAGGACATCGTCAAACATACAAATCCATGCCGCGATGGCACGTATCCCTGGCACTCGCAACATCACTCGTTGGCCCAGCCAGAGCTCGCCACAACGAAACACATGGTCCAAGCGTCTTCGCTACCCTGCGTGCCATCTGGTGACGTGCATGATCCGATTCGGATTTGATGGACAGGAAGCTGGACAAACATGTGGAAAATAAATAGACAATATTCACCAGGAGGCCATTTCCCCAAATAGGAAAATACACCATCGCCTGATCCGCACAATCCAGGATAAACCATGGACCCGACCCTCATCGCCAGGTATCAGGCCTCACTCCACGCGTGGGTCCGGTGGCATTGGCCGTCCACCCTTGCGCCTGTGGAATGGCCAATGTTTCGTCACCTGGCGCAGAACGTGGCGTCCAAACAACTCAGTTTGCTCATAAAGCATAGACCGTAGAGCCCCAAATAGATAGAAAAGTCGATCCCCACTAAAAACGTATTGGACACCGTGCCATTCTCTGTGTGGGGATCGCTCTGTCTTTTAGCCGTCCTCCAGGTCATCCGGGGTCGAACGAACATGCTCCGTCATCAGCGGGCCATCCAGCAGTGCTGTACCTAGCAGATTCCAATGGGTGCCCTATGGAGATATATAAGTAGGGTTGGGTAGTCCAAGTGGACACCCAAACAGGATGGCCCTGGTAGTTATACAATATACAGTAAGAGCGTTTTCTCTTACAGTGTGCCAACCATTCACGTTCAGCTCACACGCAAGTCCTGCTTTGTCTCGAACATAAAACGCCCTTCACACGCCACACCCATCCCTCGCGGTTGGGCCTGGTCACAGCCCCAGGTGGGGATGGGCAAGGCCATGAGTTCATAGTCAACCACCTCGGAGATTGCAAAGGCGACGGACTCGAAGCTCGAACTGGTGGGCTCCGCGGATGGGTTTGTCTTGAGCAGCGAGGGGTGAAACGTTCGAAGCGGCTGGGCCGCCCGGTCCCCTAAAAAGGAGCCTTCCACGTGGCAGGGGGCTTCCAGAGGGTTTGAAACCTGTCAGGCGAACAGCAACCCACGTCACGGTGAAATCTGGAAGTGTAAACACCCACAAATGTTTGGGGATCTCCGCAGGATTCTATCATGTTCTATCTGCAGTAGGTCACTGGCGGTGTCAAGGTTGAGGTCCTTCAGGTGCAATATCCATCCAACATCTCGGAAACTGGAACATGTTAACCAATCCTGATTCTTTGGGGTAGCTTGGCTGCTGCTCGCAGTCAGCACCGGGCTGGAAGTCTGATGCACGGGCACTTGCAGGACTTGACCCCGCAAACCTAGAACATCTCTTCCAACTCCTCATTTTTCCCATCATTGGCTGAGTCCAGTCACTCGCAAGTCGTGGTCAGTCAAGGAGGTCAAATTCAGATGATCAGCCAGCTTTCGCAGCACTGAGAGTGCACCAATCTTGCTGACATCTCCTGGGTTGGCCTGAAAAACGACGAGCAGGTGGCCTGAAGCTCCAACTGAGTACATCGTTATTGTTGCCCTTCTTCCAATTTGTGCAATCATGAACACCGAACACCGACCAATCGGATTTTTCTGGGTTCAGCGTTTTCACCCCGGCGCCCTCGCAGGTTCCTCAACAAGTTGCCAGCCTTTCCAAGAACATGAAAGCAACATTTCTACCCGCCCCTTCCCAAAAACATACCCCTTCCACGAGCATTGTGTATTGTTCGGGCCCTTAAACCTCCTTGTGATGTGGTACGCCAACGAAAAACAGAAAACAAAGTAACAACACCAACACCATCCACCACCAAGCCCATGAAGCGGGAACATGCATTCCTCAGTCCCCAAAAAGGTGGATTTGCTGTCCAGGAGCAGGGACAAAGTGTCTTCCCCAGGAGCCAGGGGATTCACCCAGTTCGGGAATATGAACTTCATAAACATTCACCCAATCCGCTCAACCCGAAATAACCCCAGCGCAGAGCCTTGTCATAAGCAACCAGTTCTTCAAAGTGTATCAAATGAGTTGCCACACTCCTCGTTGGGCATCGATGGTGACCAACGTATAGGGCGTGACCAAGTCCGGTGAAAAACACAGAAGGTCCTAAGTTCTAAGCATCCAACGTATACATCAGATCACTGGTGTGGTCAGGTAAGACTTGTTCAAGTACCCTTTTGTCACAGGAAAAGAAGGTCCGGTCGACGTCGGGGGTCGACGTCGCCCGGGCTGTGCTGGAGCCGGGCGCCCTGCTTTTTCACCGTTCGACCTACGACGCCACGCAGAACGAGACTCAGAGTGGAAGTGTGAGTAGAGGAAAAGAGTGTTTTCCTCTACTCACAAGCCATTTTCCACTTCCATCTTGGATGGTGTTGCAAGAAACGTCGCTCATGTGCTGCTTCTGGCTCCACAGTGAAAACATATAGACACAGGAAAGCGTGAGAAATGAACATGTATACTGACTGTATACACTTCTTGAGCTCGTTGCGCCACAACATTTCGTAATGATATCATATCAAATCATTATGTTTGTCCCATGTAATGTATTATCATTTCTATGTTGGAAGCTGTTGGACATATGCATCCATCCATTCCAAGACTGACCCACCTTCGAAAACATCCGCATCATGTATCCTTATTTTTCTCATCTTCTTCTCCTACTTCTTTCTCTTCTTCTTCTTCTGGAGTCATCCACTATGAGAAACACCGTTCGCGCTCGAATGCTTGATTGGATTTGCTCCGAGTTTCATCCAAGCAGGATCAGCGTCAAAATTTTCCCTGACGCTGACCACCACATGACCTCATGCAGCAGCAAAACAACAGGCAAGCATAACTGGCAAAAATCAAGGGCGCAACATGCAAATCTATGGGGTTGTTTTCCAGGACTCTGACTCCATACAGAAACCCATGAACCTGTATCTTACCAAAATATTTTCTCTCACATGGAGCCTGAAAAAAACAAAGGTTTCATTCATGTTACTAGTAGCTTCTTGTTGCTAGTAGCGATGCACTTGCTACTATTTTTTTCAGCTTGTACTCTTGAGCTATACCCAGCTCCCAGCTCAATCGAGGAGCTGAAGACCTCCTTGACCTCTTCGAACGTCTTGGGCGAGATAAGCCCCGTCCACTCATGGGTCTTCACCACCTCGAGAGTCGTCAAAAGCGTGCCATGAATCCCTTCCAAGGAACACCATTGTGGTATCGAATAACTCCATTCCGAATGCCATCAAACATATCAAAATCGAGTACTCAATGTCATCAACAGTTGCATCTACCTTCTGTATTTGGGTCGGGCTCTCTTCTGAAACATGCTGGCAACTAGCCAGCGCTCTTATTCTGTCGGCAGGAACTTTCAATCCCCATCAAAACACCGATCCTCCACGAGGCCGACAGGACGTAACAGCTACACGCTACACATCCCGTGCCACCATGAGACCCCATCTGCCATCATCTCCACCTACCGAAACGAGTGGTGTTGTTCAAACAGCTGCACAGAAAGGGCTGAAGCCGTACCCCAAAACAGCGGTGCCCGGCACCGCGGTGCCACGTTGGAACGGCGGAACACCGGAGAACTCCTGCCGACGAGGAGGCCACGTGGGCGCCGGTCTCCAGGCGCTTCTGCAACTTCTCCCGGCTCAGCCTCGGGCTCCGGGCAGACTGGGTGACCACAATCCGACCCAAAGCGCACCATGTATGGACTGATGATATACAGTATATTGTATCTATCTATATCTATATATCTATATCTATATCTATCTATCTCTGTCTGTCTGTCTGTCTGCCTATCTATCTATCTATCTATCTATATCTATATTCTATATCAACTTGTTTACATCAGTGTGTGTCAACCAGTCCCATGCATATGCATGCAGCGTTTGGATGCGTTTGGGTGGTGTTTGACTGGCTGTCCGGGCGGAATTCTAACGGGTCCAACGACTCCGACGCTGGTGGTGAAAACCACCGAGGTGGAGAAGACGACTCCCGTTTGAAAGACTCCAAAAAAGCCCTGCAAGAAGGTATTAGCTTAGGGTATTGGATCTTTGTTGTTTTTGTTTCTTCCTTTAGCTGTTGGGAGCCCATATGCGCGCACGGCACAAAAGGAATACGTTATTTTTGTGTGCACGAATAGCACTCCCCTCTACCAACCAACCAGGAAAGGCCCCGGTTGAGACCCCTCAAGAGAGGTTAGCCTCCCTCCCAACAAAGGAAGTGGACAACCCCCTTGTTTGTAGAGGAGCATCGTCTTTTCGGGGTCCATGCATCCTCTTCCATGATTGTTAGTAAGTGAGACG